ATCCCAATAGCATCACGGACTCCATGCTATTGTAGTGTCAGAGATGGTGTACCTGTTATCAAAACTTCTGGAGTCTCTCAGGATCCTTAAATGTTTGACTGCTTCAAGTTTGCTGTTCTGAATAGTTTTTATTTTTAACATTGTTAACTGCCTTGAAGGACCTTTTGTGCAGCAGGCAGAAAAATGTTTTAATTTGGATTAAAATTAGGATGAATTTTTAAAAGGTTAATCTATTGATGTTTGATCACTGCAGATGGTGACAGCAGCCACGAAATTAAGAGACGCCTGCTTCTTGGAGGAAAGCAATGACAAACCTAGACAGCATTTTAAAAATCACCTTGCCAACAAAGGTCCGTATAGTTAAAGCTATGGTTTTTCCAGTACTAGTGATGAATGGAACTGAGAGCTGGACCATAAAGAAGGCTGATCACCGAAGAATTAATGCTTTTGAATTATGGTGCTGGAGGAGACTCTTGAGAGTCCCATGGACTGCAAGAAGATCACACCTATGCATTCTTAAGGAAATCAGCCCTGAGTGCTCACTGGAAGGACAGATCGTGAAGCTGAGGCTCCAATACTTTGGCCACCTCATGAGAAGAGAAGACTCCCTGGAAAAGACCCTGATGTTGGGAAAGATGGAGGGCACAAGGAGAAGGGGACTACAGAGGACGAGATGGTTGGACAGTGTCTTCGAAGCTACAAATATGAGTCTGACCAAACTGCGGGAGGCAGTGGAAGACAGGAGTGCCTGGCGTGCTCTGGTCCATGGGGTCACGAAGAGTCGGACACGACTAAACAACAAATTGATGTTTAATTTTTATTTTTTTTAAGGATTGCTTTTCCCCTTATGTTTGTAGCTGTTTTTATTTTGGTTGTAAGCTGCCTTGAGTTGTAAGCTGCCTGTGATGGAAAAAGGTGGGATATAAATAAACACCACCACCACCATCACCATATTCTTTCTGTAACAGCAGTTGCAGCATATTTGTTGTGGGTGGGGAAGTGGTGGTCTGATTCACCAGAATCACAGAATCGTAGAGTTGGAAGGGACCATGAGGGTCATCTAGTCCAACCCTTGCAATGCCCCCAGTGTGGGGCTTGAATCCACAACCCTGAGATTAAGAGTCTTGTGTTCTACCGACTGAGCTATCCCAATAACTCCCAAGCCATGATAAATAGATGATAGTTGGATCTACCCAGCTACACACCTCTCTAAGTACTTACTCATTTAAGTGTGATTGCCCATTATTACTCATGAAATGTCAAAACCCAAAACACTTGTTGTGGACCGGAAGCATAGATCAAAAGTGTTTAATTGGGTGAAACCGCATCTCTAACATGATGGCCACCAAATATATAAAAAAAAATTAAAAAATTGTCCAGTGGCACCTAAGAGACCAACTACTAAGTTTGTTCTTGGTATAAGCTTTCGTGTGCATGTTATCTGAAGAAGTGTGCATGCACACGAAAGCTTATACCAAGAACAGACTTAGTTGGTCTCTAAGGTGCTACTAGACCAGTGTTTCCCAACCGGTGTTCCGCGGCACACTAGTGTGCCGCGAGACGTTGCCTGGTGTGCCGTGGGAGGGAGCGGGCGAGTCGGGCGGTGAGAGGCGGGGCGGCGACAGCGAGGAGAGGCCGCCCAGCGCGGGGCTCTCGCCGTCTGCCTGCCTGGCTGCCTGCGTGGCGCTGACGTCACGGGGCTGTAACGTGCCCCACATAGGCACACGCGGGGCGGCAAGCGAGCTCCCTCCCACATCCCATCGCTGGCTCTGCACCAGGCGGTAGAGCTCGGCGAAGTCGCCGCGCTGGAAGGCCAGCAGCGCGCGCGCCTTGGCCAGGCTCTCGCCCGCCTGCGCCTCCAGGCACAGCGCCTCGGCGTCGGGCGGCAGCGAGCCCAGGAAGCGGCCCAGCCGGCCGGGGTCGCCCGCCTGCAGCAGCGCCTCGCACCCGCACGAGACCTGCTCCGCCGAGAAGCGCGGCGAGCGCGGAGGATCGGGCGTGGCGGAGGCCAGCCCCGCGCTTGGAGAGGACGCAGCAGCCGTTGCCAAACCCGATCCTCCTCCTCCTGCTCCGCCGCCGTCCTCTGGCTCTTGGCCGGGAGGAGCCTGCGGCGACGGGGCGGGCGCCGAAGTTGGCAGAAGTTGGCGCGCCTCCTCGGCAGCGCCTTCGTCCTCCTCCTCCTGCCTCTGCTCTCCTCCGGCGGCGGGGGCGCGCTGCCCTCCCCGGCCGGGGGCTCGGTGGGGCCCGCGGGGAAGGAGGCCATGTTCGCGGCGCGCGGGATCGCGGCCCCCCTCGCCCGCCTCCGGCCCGCTCCCCTCCCCTGCGCGCTGCCCTAGCCGTGCGGGTCTCCTCCCCCTGCGCCACCATCCCCTTTCCACATCCTAGGAGCCGCGGTCCGCCTACCGCCCCCGGGCCGCGGCGCGGCTCCCAGCCCGGGCTGGCCTCCGCCTCCTGGGACCCGCGCCCACCCCCGCGGCCCCCCAAACTTCGGAGCAACTCTCCAGACGCTTCTCCCCCGCCTCGGTCTCCCTCCTTTCCACTTCTCTTCCCCCCTTCCTTCCCTCTTTCTTTCTCTTTCTCTCCCACCCGCCTTTCCTTCTATTAACTTTCCTTTCCCCTCCCTTCGTCCTTCCTACTTTTACTCCTGGGCTCCTCCCTCCTTTGCGCAGCCACAAATCAAATCTCTCTCTTTTTCCCCCTCTCTCTCTTCTTTGCTCAGACGCAAAAAAGCGCCGCTTTTTGGAAATCCGGACTGCTGTCCCCGCTGAAACGATACTTTAAAAAAGGAAGAACCCACTGGCTCTTATTTCTGTTTAAAGCAGTAGATCCCGAACTCTTTTGGCCCACTGCCCCCTTGGTTCCACATCCCCCAGTGTCCCCTATGCTTACTCTATAGAAAGCATTACAGGGGTTAACGCGGCTCGCTAAGGAAGATATTAATAGAATTCTGCATTTGGGGGGAGACCCTAACAGTCATCTACCATTACCTTCTATGCTGTTACTATTTTTTTATTTTTTTTTACATAAGTAAAAAGTGACCTTTCCCCATCTGGCATGGTGGTGTGCCTCGAGATTTTTTTCATGAAACAAGTGTGACTTTGCCCAAAAAAGGTTGGGAAACACTGTACTAGACAATTAAAAAAAAAAAAAAATTCACCTGTGTCAGACCAACAGGGCTACCTACCTGAATCTAGAATGATGGCCACCAGTAAGACTGCTTTTAGTATTGCAGCATTACACATATCACTTTGGTTTAAGCAATAGTTTGCTAATTATTTTTTAATGGACCATAAGCGTAGATTGGAAGTGTTTAATTAGGGAAAAGAACATGTTGCAGTGTTGCTGTTTTTTTTCTTAATTAGCATTAAAGAGTTATAGTGCTATAACATTCTTTCATTTCAGCAATATTTCACTAATATTTAAATATCGGTTAAAATTAATTATTATAGCCAGGAAAGCATTTTAGCACTAATTGAAAAAATGTAATTGAAAAAATTGATGGGATTGTAAAATAGTTTCCACCACAGAAAAGATGTGAATGTCTACATCAGGAACAAGGTGAAGGGGAAAGAAAGATGGACATTGTTGATCTGCTGTGCCAGGGAATCCTGCCACCTGAGGCAACCTCTTCACCTTGCCCCATAGGTGGGCCAGACCATCCATTCTGATGGTATTTCCGAGTAATCATTGAACTGTACAGTTGGAAGGGGCCATGAGGGTCATCTAGTTCAGCCACCTGCGATGCAGGAATCTTTTGCCCTATGTGGTGCTCGAACCTACATTTAAGAGCTACACGCTTTACCGACTGAGGAGACTAGACGATGTTGCATTGCTGCTCTCCCCACCTCCTCACCTTGTCAATTTCCTTCTCCAGAAAAGTCAAGACCAGCTTTAATGGTGCTTCTTCTTCTTCTTCTTTGGCGATCACCTGTAGCTGAGTAAGACTGCCTTCCATAAACATGGTTTTAACAATGAGTCCATAAGTGACTGTGGAGGCCAGTTCTGGATCCACACGTCCTTCCACAGTGGGGACATTGGTTTCCGGACAGGAATAGGGCACGTTGCTCCCTTTCGTCCTGAGTTTGAGCGTCTTCAAAGTCCATGACACTGGCTTGCAGGCCAGTGTATCCCAGTTGTCGGTGTTTATACTACATTTTTTTTAGATTTGCCTTGAGAGAGTCTTTAAACCTCTGTTATTGACCACCAGCAATTACGCTTTCCATTTTTTAAGTTTGGAATAGAGTAAGTTGTATTGGAAAGACGATAAATAGGCATCCTCACAACATGACCAGTCCAACGAAGTTGATGTTGAGAATCATTGCTTCAACACTGGTGATCTTTGCTTCTTCCAGTACACTGGCATTAGTTCGCCTCTCTTCCCAAGTGATGCAGATAAATGAACACAGGGCATCGCCACCAACTATTTGGTGCATTATTATTGCTCTGTGCCCTGGCGCATTTTGGTTATTGCTTTGAACTAAGCTGGGTGGCGCTGTGGGTTAAACCACAGAGCCTAGGACTTGCTGATCATATGGTCGGCGGTTCGAATCCCTGCGACGGGGTGAACTCCCGTTGCTCGGTCCCTGCTCCTGCCAACCTAGCAGTTCGAAAGCACGTCAAAGTGCAAGTAGATAAATAGGTACCACTTCTGGCGGGGAAGGTAAAATGGCGTTTCCGTGCGCTGCTCTGGTTCGCCAGAAGCGGCTTAGTCATGCTGGCCACATGACCCGGAGCTGTACGCTGCTCCCTCGGCCAATAAAGCGAGATGAGCACCGCAACCCCAGAGTCGGCCACAACTGGACCTAATGGTCAGGGGCCCCTTTACCTTTAAGCTCCTTTATATCTCTCTGTCTTTTGTAATTGGTGTCTTTACATGTTTGTAAGCCACCTTGAATCCCCACTTGAGGAGAAAGGTGGGGATATAAATGTATTGAATAAGACTAGGAACTTTAATCCCTTCGCCTTAGGGGCGGAACCTTCTTTGCCTGGCTTCGCGAGGCAACCGCGGACGGTTTTCCCGTTGCACATTTCGGATTCCTCCCTCCCGCCGGCAAGATGGCGGCGCCCGTGTTGAGATGCTGCTGGAGGACAGGTGAGAGCTGAGAAGTGGGGGCGGCTGCTTTCTGTGTCCCTCCCCAGGCCCCTCCTCGAAATATTTTAGGGCTGAGGGTCTCTTTTCCCGAAGCCCGGCTCCCATTGAGGTCGGTGCATGCGGGTTTTAGGTGAGAGGGGCGTCCCCGCTTCCCCGGTCCTGGAAAACGTGCTTTGTTTTTGGGTTTGTTTGGGGTTTTTTGTGTGTGCTCGGTCTCCCTTTTGCGATGTTTTAAGACAGAAGGCAGCCCGTAGTTAGCAGGGTCTTCTGCTCCTCCACTTGTAAGCAAAACCCCAGAGAACTCAAATGGGACTTATTTCTAAGTAGACGTATATAATAGGATTGCACTGCCAGGGCTGCCAGAAAAGGCGGCAGAGAAGCAAATATTTCCAGCAATAAGGGCTTGGATTGCATTTATTTACAAATAAGCTGTGAACAGATAAGAGCATTGGCAGGATTATTGAAACAACCTGCAGTTTTATAAGAGTATACAGTAATATTTAAGCAGATGAACAAATGAGCAAATTAAGTTAATCGGGATACGCAGAAAATATTAAAAAAATAAATTTAAGGAACTTCAGAAAGAGGGGGAAGGAAGTCGAGTTTTGAAATGTTGAAAATGATTATAGAATTATTGAAATGTATAAAATTGAAAATCATTAAAATTGAATACATTTATTTTACTTGATCAGATTTTATACACCGCTTGATAGACAAAACAAACAAACAAACAAACCTCAAAGTAGTTTACAATAAGAGAAAACAGTGAAACGAAAGAAAGGTTTGCCCACCCTGCTTTAAAGCATGCAAAAGTTTATGAAAGGCTTGTAGGGAAGACGTGTGTGAGGATCAATATAGTAATGGAATTTTCATTTAATTTCATTCATTAAATTTGCTACTGCCGCTCAACCGGAGATCACAAGGTGGTTCACAAACATAAAAATACGTAATGAGATGCTCTTTGTTTTGCTGGGATTTTTCTTCTTCTTCCAGAGGCCAGATTTTGGGTTTCTCTTCCTTAAATTAACGGAATGTACTATTAATGTTCTGTAGTTTTGTTCTTGAGAACCCTGTGGCGGCATTATACCATATGGGTGGTACGTGTTAAGTGCTGCACACTGTGTTTAGTCACTTATCTAAAAGGACTAAAGTTGGTGAACCATTCATGATTTTTAGGGTGTGGTGGCCCATAACTCCCATTGAACTTGGAAGGGTCCCACACAGGAACTTGGACTGATAAGTTTCATTAAAATACAAACATGAGTTAGAATGGTGCATGAGTTAAATACCACATTTACATGCCATATTTCCTAATAGGTGTACTCAGTGTAACCACCCTCAGGTAGTTGTGTTGAGTCCCTGCACTAGAGTTACTTCTTTAAACCTGGAAAACATCCCATATCATAGCACATTTTTGCTTACTGATGGACCAATTCATTCTATCTAAGCAGCAAATGGATTTTTATGACTGGAGTAAAAAACAGTTATTCTCTCCAAAGATTCTAACTCTCAGTGAAATAATAAGCCTTTTGGCTTTATCATTTCTGGCAGCAGACTGAATGCTCCTCTACACAAAAAGTTCCTTTCAGAAGAAGACTAGGAAGAATGTGTTCTAACTTAGCCTCAAACATGACATTTCGTTTCTGTGTGGAGGCATGTTTTAATGGATGAACGTTCAGATATGTGAGCACCCATCTGCAGTCAGGAGCGGTGAAGACCAGAGAAATAAGTGAGAACTGTACCAGAAATCTCTCTAGTTCGAAGCATAGACCATTGATTCAACAAATTTTACTTCCAAGTAAGGCTGTGTACATATTTACCCAGCTTAAAATGCAGTTAAAGGTAAAGGACCCCTGACCGTTAGGTCCAGTCGTGGCCGACTCTGGGTTGTGGTGCTCGTCTTGTTTATTGGCCGAGGGAGCAGGTGTTCAGCTTCTGGGTCATGTGTTCAGCATGACTAAGCTGCTTCTGGCGAACCAGAGCAAGCGCACGAAAAAGCCGTTTACCTTCCCACCGGAGCAGTACCTATTTATCTACTTGCACTTTGACGTGCTTCGAACTGCTAGGTGGCAGGAGCAGAGGACCAGGCAACGGAGCTCACCCCGTTGCGGGATTCGAACCGCCGACCTTGCTGATCGCAAGTCCTAGGGCTCTGTGGTTTAACCCATAGCGCCACCGCGTCCCAAAATTGCAGTTAGGTTGTCTTTTCTTAGTTTACCTCAAAGCTCATTCAAAATGCAGCATATAGTAAGAAATGACCGGATAGATGCAGTATATAAATATATTTCTGACTAATGTGTATGCACTCCTTCCCAACCTAGTGGTGGAGAGAAGTACGTAGCAGCTCAAGTGTGCTCGGTCTTGAACCTTACATAGGCTTTGGGTGTCACATTTAATCTATACTGTACTTTTGTTTGGAACTGTTTTATTTGTTGTTATAATTGTTGTAATTATATTGTTATAAACCTGCAGTTGGGACCTTATGGTGCAAGGAGGGTAAGAAATCATATATCTTTGGAATCACTAAATTGCAAAGGCCTATTAATGCCAGTTCTGTCACATAACTTCATTTGTAGCTTTTCTGATTCCTGGCTCTCATTAGCATGGTTTTTCTCTACCCCCCCCCCCCCCGTCTATAAACAGTTTCAGCTCAATGCCCTAGCCGTATTTTCCCCAGAATTGGTCAGCATTCTGCAGTGCTTCCCAGTTTTGCCAGTTTGCTGATTTCCAATAGACACTATGCTGCAAAGTAAGTAAATAACTTTTATTTCTTTTAAACTTACTAATAAAAGACACTTGAAATCAAAGTATAAATAGCAACATTGGATAGGTTCAGGCAAGCATGTCGCTGGTAGCTGAGTTCAGAAAGGCAACCTGTTTCTGGGGCAGGACTCGGTCCCCAAGATCTCCCCATACTTTTTTTTTTTTTAATTGTTTTCATATCTGTTTTTTTAATTGTTGTTTTGTTTGTATTGTAGTTAGGGTCCTTATTACATTGCAGAGCAAGGTAGGATATAGATTTTCTTCTCAACAAAATAAGAGAATGATGTGACACATTTGCGGGTCCCAATCTGCTAACTGAAGATTAGTGCTAGACCAGGGTCAGCATCCTTTTTTAGCCATGGGCTGGTCCACCGTCCCTCAGACCATGTGGTGGGCCAGACTATATTTTGAAAAAATAAAAGGAACGAATTCCTATGCCCCACAAATAACCCAGAGATGCATTTAAAATACAAGCGCACATTCTACTCATGTATAGACACACTGATTCCGGACCGTCCACTGGCCGGATTTAGAGGCGATTGGGTCAGATCCAGCCCCTGGGCCTTAGTTTGCCTACTCATGCTTTAGGGTAAGGTTACCAGACGTCCCCGTTTCCCAGGACAAGTCCCTGGATTTACAAATCAATCCCTGACAAAATCCATTGAAGTTGAAAAGTGCCCGGATTT